TCGGCCGCATGTTGCCCAGGCCGACATGCCGGGAGGTGAGCGCGCCGCTCGCGGCGTCCGAGCCTTCCGCGCTCAATGACGCGGTTGCTGACGGAGCGTTTTGGTGAGGGCTTAGCCGACTCGATCCCCCTCGCGGAAGCGCCACGTCGGCGCGATTAGACGGACGTCGCTCGAGCGCATCCGCTGAGGGCAGCTCGGAGACTTCAAGCGGTCCGTCGGGACAACCGTGACGTCGGCTTTCTTACCGCGTGCCGATAATCCTTCCGGTCGCACCTCCGGGACGTCACGCCGAGCATTTTTCAATGCTTCCCCGTTGCCGTCCGGCCGGAGTCCTCGGTGAACCTCGTGAGCGCGTTTGGGGGAATGGGAAGAAGCCACTTTCGGAAACGGACGCGGAAAGAAAGCTGCGCTCGATCCATCGTTTGCATGAGTCGAAGCTAAAATGGGACACTTGATTGATTTCTTGTGAAATTGAGCAATGTTGTTGGCTTTTGTTTTTGTTTTTTCGCCCCGTCTCAGCCACCGCTCAAGGAATCCTTTTTCTTTCTGCAGGAAGCGGACGTCGGGGAGAGTAAGTGCCGTTTTTGTCTCGTCGCTTCGGCCCGATCGAAGCCGTTTCGCTTAGCGGCTAGGCTAGCTGCTAGTCCGATCGTCGGCCGGCAAAACATCATTCACGCGGCGACTTTTCCCAGACGGGCGCGACAAAGTGCATTGAGCAGCTAACGGATCGGCGGGAGACGGCCGAACGGAGGGCCGGAAGCCATTTTGGGCCGCGCCCTCCAGAAGCACTCTTCTTGGAACACGAACGAGAGCGTTCGCGTCACGGGGGCGGCGGGGGGTCAGACTTGAGAAAGGAGAACATGTCCAAGCGGGAACCGCGCCGCTCAGGTGCGGGGCGGCCGATGGGGAAAGGCGGGCACGCTGGGGGGAGACGGGACAAGGAACCAAACACGGACTCGGTCTTCGTCATTCGGGGAAGGATCGTCACGACCGAGGACGTAAAATGCCCCTCCCGCTTTGACTTTTAGCCACCCGAAAGGAAAGCCGGCCGCGACGTTTGGAGCCGGCGCCAAAAGACGCCGACGGGATGGCACGGGGCGACGAGGTGAGCCGCGTGCCCCCAAAAAGCGCCCGCGCGTCTTTGCGCTCAAGTCGCGAACCGTCCGCCGCGCTTCGGTCACCCGGTCTTGGCAGGCCGAGGTCCGGCGCGGGACTCCGCCGATGGAGAAGATGGAGAAGGATGCCGGCGAGGCGCTCCTGGCTCACGTGGAGGAAAGGTGGGAGCTCGCGCCGCGCGCTTCCGTCTCTCCGCCTTCGCTCCGGCACGCGGTGAAATACGCGCTCGCCGCGCAGGCTGCGGCGACGGCGTCCAGAGGCCGCCCGCGCGGCGGAGGACGCGGCCGAGAAGGCGGCGCGGGAAGCCGTTCGGCGGCTGCTACCGGAACGTTGCGCCTCTTTCGAGCCCGCCGCCCAGCCGTGAGTGGCCTCTCGTCCGCTTCGAAGCCGGCGGAAGCGTAACCCGCTTTGTCTCGGACGCCCGACAGACTTCCCGACATCCTGGAGGACGACGGCGACGACCGGCCCGAGTAAGTCCGCTGCCTGTCCCGATCCATCCCCGCCCGCCAAATATGAAAGGTGTTCGACATTGACGTGCAAAACTCTTCCCGTGCGCGGGCAAAGCTGCCACGCGCCGAGCGGCCTCAGCGACAGTCGCGTCGCGCCGCGACTGTCGATCGAAAGCAAACGCGTCGCGGCCAATGTCGCGCCGGTCGCTTTGTTTCTTTTCTGGGACAAAAGGGGGGCAGCGATTACCTTCCGAAGCGAGTCCGTCGCTTGACGACCGCGGATTCGGAAAATTCAATCGATCTGGCGGTGACTTGAGGCTTCGAGGCCCGCTCACCCAACAAATTCCACCGGCGAGTCCATCCAGGTCGCGCCGTCGGGAGAAGCGCGCTCAGGATACAACAAAGACTCCCTCGTTGCGCGGTGCTCAGCAGGCGCCCGCCCGAAGATGGCGCCCCGAGCTCGGACGGCTCCCGGGAAGCCGGCCGCCACGCCAACGGTCGTTGACGCGCACGTGCCGGTCTCGAGAGATGCCGGTCGTATATCCACGCACGGCGATGTGATTTCGAGCTCTCTGTCGCGATCTCGTCCCAGCGGGACGGCGGATCTCGCCGTGGATGAGGACAAAGATGAGTCGGTGAAGATGGGACTCGGGTCCCGGTCCGGTCGAGGGGACCTATTGACCGCGGCGTGAGTAGAAGCGTCACGCGGGAGACGGGCTCGTCCGCCTTTGCTCACGCCCCCTTTGTTCTTTGCCAGCGTCCGTCCGGCGTCGGCGGCCAGCGTCGGAAGCGCGGCGGTCCAGGAGCGTCTCGGCCAGCTGGTCGGGCTCTTCAAAGATCGTACGGAACGCCGCAAAGACCGCCTGCTCGATCCGGACGAGTCGGAGGGCCGGGAAAGTCCCGCCGCCTGTAAGTCCGAACGTCGGCGCCGCCATGTCGGGAACGGTTCACGCGACGACGGGCTACTTTTCGACTCGCGACCAAATGGCCACCTCTCGGCGTTTGACCTCGTCGCGTGCCTTCTGCTTCCGGCAAAGCTCCGCCTCCCCCGCCGCCGCCCGGAGAAGACGAGACGGAAGGCCCCGCCGTCGGAAAGGAAGAGGAAGAGGCCCTTCTTCTCTTTCATCTTCTGGGACGTCCCGTTCAAATTCCCAAACGTCTTGCCGTGCCCAAATGGCTCCGAGCCGTCGCGGAGTTCCGGTTCCCCTCCAGCATCGACCCGTTCACCGGTTTGTATAAAGCGCGCCGAGTGACGTTTCAGAAAACTTGCCGTCGAGCGGAAATGACATCGCGGTCGCTCGGGTAACGAGCGATCGCGGCCGAGCCGTTTTCTGAAGCCGAGCCACGACGGGTCCGAGCCCCGAGCGACCGCGTCGTCGTTTTCAGTTGACGGCGAGCGGCCGAATAACAAGCGCCGGTCGAAAGCAAACCGTTCGTTCGGTGCCACGGTGAAACTTCAACGGTATTCGAGAGAGAAGTTCCATTTGACTTTCACATCAGCGCGGGAAGCTCTCGATGCATCCGAGACGCGGGCCGGACAAGGTCAAATTTCCACCGACTCTTGAAACGGACTCAGAACGGCCCACAACGACTCCGCCCGCGGGCATTCCGTCGACGAGCTGGAACTCGGTTGATGCCGATCGATGACAACTTTTGAGAAACTCTCGAATCGCTCGAGAACCCGTCCAAAAGAGGTCCGGAGGCATTCCGGAGAGAAGCGACGACCTCTCTCGGGGAGACCGGTCTCCCTATTTTCATTCCGGCGCGGACGACGATTTGCGAGTCGGACTCCTCGTGTGACGAGATGCCGTGTGGGCCCGCAGACCTGGTCTATGTGCTGTGGCTGTTCTTGGTGGTCGCGGCCTGGAACTGGAACGTTTGGTTGATACCCGTCCGCTGGGCCTTTCCCTACCAGACCCCGGAGAACCTCCACCTGTGGCTTCTGGTCGACTACGCCTGCGACCTCATTTACATCACCGACATCCTGGTCTTCCAGCCCCGCCTGCAGTTTGTCCGCAGGGGGGACATCGTGGTCAGGGAGCAAAGACGCAAGTTGACAACTTGCCGTCTCGTCTTTTTGTCTCTTCTTCTTCCCGCGCCGCCCGCTCCCGCCTCTTAACCGCATCCGTGACGTTCCCTTTCAGTGCGACCGAAAAGCCATGCAAGAAAACTACATGACCACCGACAGGTTCAAGGTACGTTCCCCGACTATTTTGGATCCGCTAACGTACGACTCGAGGGATTCGAGGGGCGAGATGGAACCGCCTTAGTATCGATCTAATCATCGAGAGGCATTCAAGCGATCGGCTGGCGTCACTTCAGAACAAGTCGGGGACACATCTCAAGAAATATTCGAGGCACGCTAGACCCATTCGAGGCCCGGGCGAGAACAAATCCACATCTCTTGCGGAAACGGCCGAGAAGCGGCCGAGCGCGACCCTCGAGGCGCTCCGAAGACGCACCAGAACCCGTTTAGAAGCGGTCAAGTCCCCGTGCAGAGGCGGTCTCGGGTGATGGCTTTGCTGTCCTCTTCAGATGGACGTCATCAGTCTGTTCCCCATGGAAATCCTCTACTACTGGACGGGGGTCACGTCTCTGCTCCGATTCCCTCGTCTGCTCAAGGTGTCGAGTTGTTTTGTTTTTCGGAGATCATCCGGTCTGACCGGAGACCCGAGTGATTAACGGCGGGCCCGTCTCTCTCAGTACCACGTTTTCTTCGAGTTCAATGACAGAATGGAAGCGGTGATGAAGAAGGCCTACATCTACAGGTAAAGCCGGCGGCTTTTGCTTTCTGGGAGACGGACTGACGCGGGCTCGCGTCAGGGTGATCCGGACCTCCACCTACCTGCTGTACTCCCTGCACGTCAACGCGTGCCTGTTCTACTGGGGCTCCGACTACCAAGGCTTGGGTTCCACCAAGTGGGTCTACGACGGGAATGGCAACGCGTAAGGAGATCGACCCGGCCGGTCTTTCCCGTCGGCGGCGTGTCGCTTGACCTCCCCGCGCGCGAGCTTACATCTGCTCTCAGCATGTAGCCTGTTAGCATGACGCTTGACCCCCGCGCACGTCCGGTTGGAATGTATCCTCTTAGCGTGTAGCCTGTTAGCATTGATTGTGATAGCGTGCACCTTGACCGTGATACTTTTTGTCTCGCGCACTTTGCTTCTGAATGCCGTTTAGCGTTCTGTTTGGAAAGGCTCGCCGGTGCGGTGTCTTTGCTTGCGCTCCAAGCACTTTTGAGTGTGAAATAAACGGAGCCGCCTCGCCTCGCTTCCCTGCGTGCGCAGTTACGTCCGCTGTTACTACTTTGCGGTGAAGACGTTGATCACCATCGGCGGGCTTCCGGACCCGACCACCGTCTTCGAGATCTGCTTCCAGCTCGTCAACTATTTTGTGGGCGTCTTCGCTTTCTCCATCATGATCGGACAAGTGGGTCGCAGCCGAGGATCCCGACGCGGCGGACCCGTACGGTCCCTAACGCCGAGCCGTGACCGTGTCTCCCAGATGAGGGACGTGGTGGGGGCGGCCACGGCCGGCGAGAACTACTACCGGGCCTGCGTGGACGGCACCGCCAAATACATGAACTCGTACGAGATTCCCAAGGCCGTCCGCAACCGCATCAAGACCTGGTACGACTACACGTGGAAGAGCCAAGGCATGCTGGGTAATGCCACCCCACACGTTTGGCACGCCGTGCGTCGCGTGGTCTTTGTATGCGTTTGGGTCACGCGCGCGTTGCGTTGCGTTGTGTAGACGAGCAAGAGTTGCTGTTGCAGCTTCCTGCCAAGATGAGGCTGGACATCGCCGTGGATGTCAACTACTCCATCGTCAGCAAAGTGGCGCTGTTCCAGGTCGGCGGCTCGCGAGATCGCAGACGCGCGCCCGCGCTTGTAGACGGCAAGCATTGATCAAACGTGCGTGCGTGCGTGCCCGTCAGGGTTGCGATCGTCAGATGGTGTTTGACATGCTGACAAGACTCAAATCTGTCGTCTACCTGCCGGGAGACTTTGTGTGTAAGAAGGCAAGTGTCCGCTGCTGCTTTTCTCTGTGCGTGGGAACGAGTCTTTGCGTTCTCATGTTTGCGTGACTGTGACGCAGGGCGAGATCGGCAGGGAAATGTACATCATCAAGCAGGGCGAGGTCCAAGTGGTGGGCGGTCCGGACCTCGGGACGGTTTTCGTCACCATCAGAGCGGGTTCGGTGTTTGGCGAGATCAGGTCAGTCGTCGCGACGAGCGCGCCGAGGCTCGAGCGCGGTCTGCGACGGCGAGCGGAGATGGCTGACGTCCGCCACTTGAGAGCGATGCGCGCGGGCTGAACGCGGAGATCCCCCCCAATCGCGTCTCTATTTCCGTGACCGATGGATCTGTCAACGCCGAGTCCAGACGAGCGGACTCTTTCCGTTTGAGCTTTCATCTCGGGTTGTCAATTCTGGCTGCGCAGTTTCCTCCCAATGGCCCCTCCGCGGGGGCGAGCGACGACAGGAAGTTGTCCTCGCTTGGCGCGGTGCCTGTCGTGAAGCGCTCGTCCCGCATACCAGTCGCTCGCAGAGCGATCGGTCCTTCGCTCGTCTTGCGGCCACGGGGTCTCCCCGTCGGCCGAGGGCGTCTCGGAGGGCGGCGACGTCGGGACGTTTCCACTATTTGACCGTTCGTCTTCGACTTTGCCACAGATGGCTTCTTTTTACAGCTCGTTCAGAGCACCGCGGCCGTCCTCCCCGACACGGTGTTGTCCGGAGAGGAGCGTCCCTTCTCGATACGCAAATCAATCGCCGACTGTCGACCCAAACGAGTCGCTCGCTGGCGCCGCGCCATCCGCGGGTCAACGTGCGGTACGTGTTCGGAGACTAAAAGATGACAAAAATCGAGGCTTTCCAATCGAGGTCCCGCTCGGTTTATGATCCGAGGTGCGAAAAGACTCCTTCCAAGGAAATCGATCGCCCTTCCATTCCTGGGTTGGAGTCACGATTCCCCCGATGCCCTCTCGATGGTTGCGCCTTGATGCACTTTTAAGACACCCGAGATGCTCCTTCATCTGGCGGTCGGCGTGAGAACGAGATCCGGGAGCCACGCGGGCGGATGGTCGGAACGTAGGAAAACAAGACGAGGTCAAGCTAAAAATTGGAAGAAAGAAAGAAAAAAAAATCAAGTCGGTGTCATAGTTCAATGCGCTTTACAAGTTGAAAGGGAGTAGGAAGAAGTCCTCCCCCTCGACGTTTGCGGACAAAGACATCCACTCCAAGTCGACGTGCGCGGGAGGGAGAAGTCGACGCGGATGTTTGACGGGCAGTCGAGGCGCCGACCTTGCGCTCTCCCGTCGCTCAGTTTGTTGGCGGGGGGCGGAGGGAACCGGCGCACCGCCAACGTGAAGGCGCACGGATTCGCCAACCTGTTCATCCTGGACAAAAAGGACCTGGCGGAAATCCTGGTCCACTATCCGGAATCCCAGAAACTTCTACGCAAGAAGGCCAAGTAAGCCGGAAAGCCCCCCCCCCCGCCCCGGGCCGGCCGGGAAGTCCGCCTCATACGTTGCGTGTTGTCCCTCAGGACCATGCTGACAAAGGACGACGAGAAGCCGCGGGAAAAGGGAAGCGGCAAAGACCCGCCCCAGCTCATTCCGGTCCCGCCCGACACGCCCCGAATGTTCAAGGCGGCGATGAGGGTGACGGCGCGGGCGGGACTGGCGGGAACCTTGGCCAAACTCGAGAAGAGCTGCGGCCCGCCTCGGCGCACGGTGGGAATCGCCGCCCCTTGTCGCGATTGGGGAGCGAGGGAACGGCCGAACGCGTCGGGCACGTTCCCCGCTCCCCGAGTCGCTCGTCATGTTGCCGAACGGCCGTTCTCGATAGACGCCGCTCACCGGAGGACTTTTAAGAGTCAGCCGGTCGCGTCCGGGAAGCAAGCGAGCGGGAGGGCGAGCGGGGAGACAGCTTGCGAGCTGGCTAGAAATGGACAGAAAGTTGTGTGGACACGGCGCCTCTGTTGTTTTTGCTCTTTGCAGCCTCCGCCCTCTCCCTTGCCCGCGGGCCACTCGTCGGTCATCGCCACGACGTCGCCGACGGAAGGGGAGGAGCTTCTTTACGCGAGGGCGGCGGCCACCGGGGACCGGGAAGCGGAGAAAAGGGAGGTGGAGGAAGATGCCGAGTAAAGGGCTTCCCAGCGAGCGAGCGGGCCGGGACAATACGCTTTCCCGCAAAACCCGCCATGGCGCCTTGCTTATCGGTCTGTCCCGTGCTGTCCTAACCTGTCCCGCCCGGGGCTACCGCATCTCGCGATTCGTCTCGGAACAACTATTTGCCGCCGCCGCGCGACCTCGTCTTCCTCACCCACAGGTTCCGTTGGATTGGGGACTTTTTTTTTTTTTTTTGTAAGGGGCTTCCCAGCGGGCGAGCGGGCCGGGACAATACGCTTTCCCGCAAACCCCGCCATGGCGCCTTGCTTATCGGTCTGTCCCGTGCTGTCCTAACCTGTCCCGCCCGGGGCTACCGCATCTCGCGATTCGTCTCGGAACAACTATTTGCCGCCGCCGCGCGACCTCGTCTTCCTCACCCACAGGTTCCGTTGGATTGGGGACTTTTTTTTTTTTTTTTAGTTCACGCCACGGGAAGACAATCCCACCTC